AACTTTCCTCTAGTATGCTGCACCTGTGCTGTGCAAACATTTTAGAATGAAGTTGTTTTTTTTTCTACTTGTCTCATTGCTTTCAATTCTTTCACTTTCTGAATAGCTTATTTTTTATGTCCCACTTTCAGGGCAAGACTGTGTCTGTAGAAATACTCGGAAAACTCTACAGACTTTGGGAGCTTTAGAGATGGACAAAAAGCAAATCACAGGAGGCTGTTAAAACTGCCTGGTGTGGAAACAATCATCTGATCCTCAACGGGAATAAAATGGGAGATGATTGTAGATTTCAGGAGAAACAACAACAAGACAAATGATATTAACCTCATGGGAAAAGAATTGGAGGCAGTGGAGGAGTACACATACCTCAGTGTTCACCTGAAAAACAGACAGTGGTGGTTTTGCTCTCTGCTTCCTGATGAAGCTTATGTGATTGATTGTTTACAGCAAGATGTTGCATATATTTCATAAGCCTATTATGGAGAAAGTGATTTCTTCCTCTGTAATCTGTTGGCAGGGATGTGCTTGGATGGACCCAAGGTGGTGCCTGTTCCTTCTTTACAAAAAATTGCCCTCCTGAAATTGTTTTTTTTTTTCTTTTTTTCAGATATGTACAGGTCAAAGAGGAATGGTTAGAGTGCCGACCCCTGTGGTTCTGCTATCCTCCTGACTACATGGTTATACACTTGATCCTTTAGTCTCAAACTGTGGTCTTTGATCTAGGCGTTTGCTCAGGCTTCAACCTGAGTCTTCTGGAGTTTTTGACAAAGCACATAAGGCTGAATCATGTTAAAAACACTGGAGAAATCAAAGAACATGATCTCTCTGCTTTTTCTAAATAACAGTGGGTTTGTTGAAGCAGATGCATGACAGCATCTTCAACTCCAAGGCGAAAAAGGCAAACTGCAGGGGGTCCTGATAGCTACTTGCCTGCTTGCTCAACAGGAGTCTCTGTAGGGACTTTGTGATTTTGGATGTCAGGGTGACAGGTCTTATAGCTGGGTTTTCTCTGGTAGTCTAAACCAGGCAGGAAATCTTATATAGTACTGTATGGCCATCCCTAGGGTGTTTCAAGAGGTGCCTGTTTCTATGAAACACATATTACTCCATTCCTTATAATTACACCGGGTCTCTGTATTCAATACAAATAGGCCTGAAGCAATTAATCGGATTAATCGTGATTAACCGATTATTGAAATAATTGCCAAGTAATTTAGTAATCTATTAATCGTTAACTGGAGAATAGACTCTAAAACATGCCTTTAACTGACAGAGCAACACACTTAGAGAAGTAATTATATCAAAATAAAAATATATAAGTAAACATTTTGCATTTAAGATGTAAAAAAGTTTTCGCTGTCAATATTATCTTTCCAAAACTCAATAGGTGGAAAAGTTTTAGTTTCACCTGGTTTAATTTCTTTACAAAAATCTTCTTTAAGGAATCTTTAGCAATCCAATTATTAATGGATTTATAGAAAAAATTATTGAAAGATAAATCGTTTTGCCTTAGTTGCAGCCTAAAATAAATGCCTACAATACTAAATTAAATGGGATGGATTTTATAAAGGACTATTTAAATATTTAAAGCAGCTTTTTTTTTTTTTTTTGCTACTCTGGTCGTTTATGTTTCTGTAAATAGTTTCAAAAGGATATGGATTCAATTTTAAAACTAGACTGTGAATCACAACTTCCTGAAAACGCTTACAGTATTCGCTACCATAATCTGACATCTTTTGGGTGGAGTTCAGTTGCACAGGCAAACAAATAAAACCTTAAAAAGCAGCCTTTTGGTTGTTCACACTGCAGGTTTATCATAGCAATTAATATTTCAATAGTGAAAAAACACCCCAGGTATCCTTAATTAATACCAGGGATTCCTGACAGTGATGCATATATGCAATGCAGGCCCTTAAAAGTCATACTCAACCTTTAAGAGCAAAACTAAGAAATGTAAATCATCACCACTCCCTCCAACTCTCAGTTTAAAGGACATATTCGAATTCCCCCTTTTTCAGCTCTCTTTAATAACTTGTTTTGTGTATTACATTCTCTAAAAGTCCAAAAAAAGATATTGTTGAGTTTCCCCAGGTCCTGTGTTGATACAGTTAGATGCTGTATTGGTTATATTTTTAGCACATAGTTTCTCCATTCTGTTACATTTTGCTTATTTTTTGTTGCAGTATTTTAGTACATCAGGTTGAAGAAAACTGAAGGATCAAGCTGATAAATCTAATATCCGGTTGCTGGTTATTATTAATTCACATGAGTCATCACCCCATCCTCCAACATCAGAAACTTTTTAAAGGGCCTAGCTTAACTTTTTTTTTCATTAAAAACCTACCGCCATTAGCAATGATCATCCTCTTTTTCTAAAGTACTTCAGAGAATAGGTTCTTCTGCAGCTTCTGCCAATATGAAGGATTAGCTGAAATACTTTATATACCAATATTAGATTAAAAAAAAATGAACAATATATTTTTATTTAGGGAAAACATGATCCAAATGTATGCAGTGAAGTTCTTGTATAAATATGTTCATCCATATTGTGGTAGCATTTAAAAGGAATCTTAGGTGTAGTTTGTGTTAAAATATTGCTGTTACAGCCAATGTTGCAACTGTTTTTTCTGCTATTGTTTGAGAACAATAAAGATTTCATGAGGCTCACAACAGTAAACTTACATTCGTCATTGTTTCCGTTTACGTTTATTTTCTTACTCTCCTCTCGCTCTTGGTTCAAATATGGAATGCTTGGACTTTTTCAAAATAAGAACTTTCCACACCGTTAGATAATCATACCTCTGCTATAGAACTACAAACATGGACAAACAGGGTGAAGTGGAATGCTCCGCAACCAATGCGTTTTTTCTTTTTTTTGCACCATTTTTTTTCTCCCACACTGGTTACATTTGATCACTGCTGCACTTTGAGAAATGGAAACGTCATGATAGCTGTAGAAAACAAAATTTCATTTTGTCTACACTCCGTGTATACAAAATAAAAATAAAAGTTGTCTCAGTCTCTAAGTCTAAGTCTAATCTGATTGGAGGTGAGGTTTGTAATGCCTCATCTGCATTCAAAGAGCCCTCAGCAACACTAAAAACATATAAAACTTATAAAATTTGTAAAACGGATGCCTGAGGAGCTGCAATGGCAGCACAATCAGACCAAGGTTTTACAGTTTAAATTTAGGTGGACCACAACTAAAAGATTTAAATAAGAAAAGGAAAATTTAAAAGCATATGTCTCTTTTAGAAGACACAATTTAGATTACAAAACAGAGGCTGTTTCTCAATGTGTGTACTTGTGCTTTCTCATGTGCTTGTGTACTCATGAAATGTCATCACCATCAGCCCTTGTACTGTTCCAATTCACAAGAACAGCAGACCGAGAACGTACAAAGTCCCCTGATGTTGTTCTCGCCCTTCCCTCTTTACCGCGTATGCTTCAGAGCAAAGTTGTTCGTTTTTTGAGATTGACAGCTGTCCCAGCATGCATCGTGGCAGCACATCTTTCCAGCTTAGCGCTCACATAGCTCAGAGTATTAAGTTAAAAGTTCACTTTTCTGTCTTTGTTGTTCTATAAAAGTACATTTTACTATCATTTAAGGAGAGAATAATATGCTTTTAAGTGTCCCTTCTATGGCCCATTTATGTATTTAGTGCGTGATAAAAAAAAAATCTGAAGTTCAGAGGAAGTTGAGAGGACCGCGGCAACCAGTGGACTCGTCTGCAGAGAAGTGTGGGAAGTTCCGCTGGCTCTGATGGCGAGTTTTTTTTGTTTTATCTGGCAAAATGTTCATTTGATTTGTGTTTATCTGACTGTGTCCAATATCATTTCCTCACTAAATGAAAAAAAGTAAGATTGTATTGTACTCTAGAGACTATAAATAACAGGAGGTGATACACAGCTACAGACAAGCCAAGTGTGTGGTGACGTCACGAGTCTGCTTCTGTTCCAATTGACCCATTGACCAGCAATTGTCCATACTGACATTCTTGTGAATTGACAAACGGACAGAATTAGCAATCTTTTAACAGTAAATAGAATTGGAAGAAGTTTCTTACATTTCTTTGACCTTAATGCTATTCCCTGTATTTAAAAGAAAACTACAATGTTGTGACAACATCATGGAGTCACAGGTGATGGGAAGATAAGCATTAATGTAGTGAGTAGTAGAGACCACAAAGCCATAAAGGATGGGTTGGGTGTTCACCTTCCAACAGCAACATAAGCCTGAAAAAAAGAAATCAACAAAACTAGAATGCACAATTTAGGCCATATGTAGAAATGGTTAATCCCAGGTGTCTAAAAAATATATACCCTCCTCCTGTCCTGATCACACTAGGGGTTGTTACCCCCACATTAAGAAGCAGGAGGTAATGGTTATGAATCCAAGAGCGGGTCAGACTAGGGAGAATGTGAATGATATCCAGACAGCTGAAGGTTGAAAGAGATAACCCCAGTATCTGGAATTGGGTCTCATTGGTTTATCATTGTGGTCTTTGTAAATATGAGTTCACCAGAAACTGGAGGCACTAGAATGTAAAATGTTTAATTTATGATGCTTAAATTTCAAACAGATAAATGCCAAATCATCTTGCAAAGTTTAACAAATTTAATCCTTTTTCTCTAACTCCCCTTCATATCCTCACATAAACCCTGTAAATTGCTGCACTTTGAATCTATGTTCAGGACATTTTCTCAAGGGAAGCATTAGGTTTGAGTCTGATTGTAATTAGTGATTCATCGTCATTCCTCACTTCCTGTTTTACGGTATGCTCTGCTACTGGTCATTTCTACAAATATCCAAAATGGGGAACTCTATTTAAAGGAAACCATGTAATGAACCTGTAATTCAAACTGTCAGAGAAAAGCCTTTAAACACTCACTAAAACAGGCAAAATTACCAAGAAGTTCCAGGAAGGCTTATTTCAAACATGTTTATATTCAAAAGTTTTGTTAAATAATTATTATATACGTAAAAAATTCTGAATTACCTGACTGAGAGTTGGATTAGAGTGCAGCGACTCTCAGATCTGAAGTGGCAGTTGCCATGGTTCTTCTCCAGTCCAGGGGTCACGCTGTTTTCTTTTTCTTTAACGCAAAGATATCCAGAAAGCTGAAGGTTTAAAGAGATAATCCAGTATCTGGTAGTGGGTCTCAGTGGGTCATCAGTTTGGTCTGAGCCAGCATGAGTTCACCAGGAACTGGAGGCACTGGATGCCTTTAAGAGAATAAGAAGGAAGGAGCATGTTAGTCAATTAACAGGACGAGACAATAAACAGATAAGATGATGGAGGATGCAGCGAGGTAAGATGTAGTTTCTGTCTGGTGAGAAGGAGGAGCAGCAGTACATAAAAGCAGAAGAGAGGACAGTGAAAAGTCAACTTCCCTAAAGGCCGTAACCAAGAAAAAGGAGAAACTGTACAATTTACAAAACAGTTAAAAGCTCCAAGGAACAGAGGATTGACACAACCTTGATTAAAAAAAAGGTGTTGTTAGGCGACATTCAAGACCAAAACAAATTATTTACCACTTTTCCCAAATTTGATCTAATATTTATCCATAAAGTACTACTCCGTTTTCTTCAATCAGCATATAGGTCCATTTAGTCATATTTCTAAAAGCTCTCCAAATCTTAGACTTTGTCATTTTGTACACAGAGTGTATACAAAAATAAATTTTGTTCACTATAGCTCTCAAGACATTTCCATTTTTAAAGTGCAGTAGTGATAAAATGTAAACATAAGACTGGTATATATGGTTTACAGTTTCCAACATTCAGGGCTTTTTTGTAAACCCCATTTTAAACAACATTCAGCAGTCTAATGGCAGCCAATCTGAAGGAGTCTTTATAAAAGCAGAAAAAGAACCGAACATTTGAACTGTTTGAACTCCCCTCAATTGGAGGGCTTTTACCTGTCGAGTGCATTTCAATGGTGTAATCAAGTACAGCTTGTAAACGTCACTGTCTGTATGTTCAAAGTAAAAGAAAAATAATAATGAAATATCAGCATAGCCCTATTCAAAAACAGATAATAATCATTATTTTTGACATAGTTTTACTGCAGGACATTCCATCTATCCCTCAACTGTTTTTACCCTCCTGTCCATCCACCATCCATCCGTTACTTATTCTTAAAAGGTACAGTGGAGGATTTTCACACATTTTTGAAAAAAAAAAAATGCACATGGACAACCCAGTACCTGATCCTAAGAGGGAACGTCTATTAAACGTGTGCGAGAGCGTGCATGCACCCATTTCTCCTCGTGCACGCTCTGTTTACTAGTTGCTATATGCATCGCTCATACAGACTTACTTTCCAAAAGAAGATTTGCAATTTTTCCACTATGTCAGACAGTTTCAAGGACCACTTAATTTGATGATCCAACCAGAAAAAAACATCCTCCACTTTACCTTTAAGTTCACAGGGGGCTGGGGCTTATTTCCAGCAATCTATGGATGAAAGCCGGGTTACGCTCTGGACAGGTCACCAGTCCATCTCAAACACTGATCATTTTGGAATTGTTTTACTGCTGTATACTTCATGGTGCCTCCAGCAATAAATGGATCTATAGACATATAACCATGTATACACACACACACACACACACACACATTCACATCTAGAGCCAATTTAGAGACGCCAATTAACTGAACAGTCATGTTGTTGAACTGTGGGAAGAAGTGGAGTACGCTGGAGAACCCACTCATGCACACTTACAAGATACTAACTTCAAAAAAAGACCAAAGGCCAGGAATCAAACCCAGAACCTTCTGATCTGAACTTCCATATCAATGCTTTTTCGCACCATGTTTTTTCCCCCACACTGTTTACATTTGATCACTACTGCACTTTATAGAATGAAAACGTTCATTTTCCTGCTAAGCTGCTGCTCATTCACTGTCTGAAAGCTGTACAAAACGAAATTTAGGGGTACGATGGACTGGTGACAATATAAGTTGTCTAAGTCTAAGTCTTTATCTTTATTGATAAAAAAAAAAACAAAAAAAAACATGTGAAATCCTGGAAAATTCAACCAAAAACTTTTCACTTCCTATTCAGTTTATGAAATTAAAATAAAGCCCTTCATGTATGCCAATATTTACAATCACAAAGGTCTGATACTGTGCGTGTCCACAGGGGGTTAAGGAAGTACTAGAACTAAGCAAGCAAGTGCTTCCTAGTGAAGTTGTAAAAATAGAATAAAAAAATAAAAGTTCTAGGTCAAGTATAAGAAGCGTTAAGAAAAATATATGACTCCTGGAGGGATAAGACTGGAATAGCACCATGAATACAGTATAAATGTTTGTGTTCACCGAAGCGTGAGCTAAAGCTGTGGAGGCATTCAGATTTTGCTGTAGAGCTGGGAAATGCAAGAGTAAATGGCCCTACTAATACTGATACTAGAGAGAGCAATTTCATTCTAGCTCTAGTACAAATTACATTATAAACAGATACAGCAGAAGACTGAAAATAAAGAAGACTACTCAAGATCAGATATAATTCAGGGCTCATTAAAATCACTTTGTGGCGAAACTGCAATTAATCTGTGTTTATTTGAATGAAAAGGTTTTATCCTATGATTTACACAATATATTTAATTCAAATATTTCTCATCCTGAAGCACTGTTAGGGTTTAGCAGGAGCAGGGATGTTCTTTTTCTTTGTAATTCTGACAGGAGGCTCTGGGGAGAATTCACTAGAAGTTAAAGTTGCGGTAGATTGGTTTATTTATATTTTATTAATATTAGTCAGTCTTTGAAGAAAGCAGGTTGACGGTACCATGTGGCACTGCAGGACAATGAGACTCTCTAAAGTAGCTGCATCAATTGTTGCCATATCTGATGGTACACATCTGTTTATGTTTAGTTATCGCTCCTAGTTCTGAAAATCTATTTAGGAACAAAATACTATTAGGACAGAAACTTGATCTATATATCTTTAGTTTATCATTTGTTTATTTTATTTATTTTTTTGTAGAGGCATTACATTTCTCTATGCCTCTTTAATCCATTTTTATTATCTCCTTAATATTTCAGGCTATTCAAACATTAAAATAGTGGTACAAATATAAATAAAGGGCATTAGCTGCTGCAGAGATTGCACATTGGTGCAATCTAATAAATAAACACTTTGCTGAATCACAAGGGAGCATAAAATCAGGGTAAGAAGATGAGGAGGTGGGAGGAGAAATAAATGGGGACAAACAGCACAGTTCTTCACCTGGGAAGGCCATGCAGCCCATATATCTGGGAAACTCAATTTCATTTGAATGAAAATGCTGCAACCCAGAAGAAACTCAGAGCTATATTCTTGTGCATCTTGTACATTTTTTATACGTTTCAAAGTTTTCGTTACAGCAATGAGACACATGCCTCGCAGTCTAATGGGGAACAGTTGGTCAGGCTAAACTAAAGAAATACCTGTGTGCATTTATATCAATTTCCTGTTCTTCTTTTCTTAGCTGCTCCTATTTACTAATGCACACATCTCCCCCGGCCCTCCCCGCCTCTCCATCTCGAACCGTTCACCCACAGAAACTAAGGGGGGAAACATGCAGGGAGCAATTGCTTCACGACATCCTGTTAAATGAGATGTCATGCTTGAGTATTAACATGATAGCCTCACAGGAGAAAAAGTTAACTCTGACAGGATCAAGTGAAAAAGGAACAAAATCAGAAATTAATATCACACGTTAATCCTCTGTGATTTTCTACATTTTTGAATTTATTCCTTATTTCCTGGAAAGCAAATGGGCGGGATCACTTGAAATCAGATACGATCTCAGAATTCATAAATAAATAATATGAAGCCTTACAGAGGGGAGTGTGATCTAGGAAACCATTGAATAATAGAAGAAGCTTTCTTTAATATGGGCAGATGCACAGAGTCAAGCTCAGCTGCATTAAAAAGAGCTGCTACGAAAAGACGGCAGAGAGCAAACTACAATTTGCATGTGTAAAATTAAGTTTTGCTCAGTTTCCATCCAATAAATCAAATATTTGATATAAAAATAAAAAATAAAAATCACACAGAACACATGAAAAGGGCACAAGGCATAGTAAAAGGATTGCTTTCAATATCACAACTAAAAAGATCCAAGGTGATTTAAAAAAAAAAAAGAAAAATGAAAGGTAATTTGAAAAAAAGACCAAGGTCAACAAGGGTTTATATACTTTAATAATAAGTGCATTAAATAATGTAATTTAAAGATGTCCTTGTAATAAAAAATGACCGGCACCTGAAATTAAAACACATTTCTTAAAAAAAAATGGACACAAAAACATTTCTTTTTCTAACACAATCATAGAAAATATTGTCAGAAACAATTTCTTTACAAGTCATGGTTGGTTTAAGATTCTGATGGGATGAGAAAATTGTATACATTTCCATAAAAATGAATAACCATCAATTATATTTAACAAAAACAGAAAAACAACAATTGTGATGCAGCTATTTTGTTTCTGGACATTTCCTGATTACTTAGAGCAAAATCTTGTCCAGAGGTGTTTTTTGGTGAAGCCAATCTAGCCTTAGATTTACACCCTTTGCCTCTCCGTTCTGCTCCATTGTTCACTTCGGTCCTGATTTACATTGGAAACTCTCTAATCCGTTCTGCTCTGCCGGGAGGCCCAGAGGTTCTCCGAGGAAGTCAGACCAAAACAACGTATATATTTTTCTATGCGTGTGTTACGTGCAAACAGACAGAGGTGTCTATGACATTCCCATCACCACAGAGTTGTGGATCAGATTAGAGCATCATACAGAGATCTCTGTTTGTACCAAAGCAAATCCTTTTATAGAGATAAGCTTTGAGGGCAGTTCCTGCCACACACCACTTCACCCATTGAGTCTGAATCAGCCTCCAGCATCAGTTCAGAGGAACGATGTTTACAGACATGCTTTGACCTGCCCCTGTGAGTTACTTCCAAAAAAAAATGTTTCTACCAGTTCAAGACTACCAAAAGGGTCACAAGATAAGCATTGAGATAACTAACAGAATAAGTACACAGAAAAGAAACTGTTTCTGCTCTTTTTTCTTATAAGGGTTTATCATCAAATATAAAATATATTTCAATTTCAACTAATACAAATTCTTAATTTTAGGAAGAAGTCAAACAAACAAATACAAAAAAATACATAGACTAATACATAGCTAATCTTATGAATACTTTTATGACCCTGTCATTTAAAACGAGACTTTTAGCCTGAATATTTA